TACACTGAGCTGGCAGGCATATGGCTTATTGTAATATTAGATTAAGATTTACAGTAGAACAATGGCAACAAAATAAAACGTCCCATTGCTTAAAATAGTGCAGCATAGATGAGGAGAGAGCACGATGAGAGCGTCTGATGCTCCAAAACATTCTGTTATTTTCATTTATTGCAAGCAGTGTTCTGTTTCGTCTTTTAAGAATATTGAGCCATGTGTAGGCATATAGTCAGGTCCATAAATATTGGGACATCGACAACATTTTTGGCTCTATACACCACACAATGGATTTGAAATGAAACAAACAAGATGTTCTTTAACTGCAGACTGTCCGCTTTAAGTTGAGGGTATTTACATCCAAATCAGGTGAACGGTGTAGGAATTACAACAGTTTGCATATATGCCTCCCCCTTGTTAAGAGACTAAAAGTAATAGGACAGAATAATAATCATAAATCAAACTTTCACTTTTTAATACTTGGTTGTAAATCCTTTTCAGTCAATTACAGCCTGAAGTCTGGAACGCATAGACATCACCAGACGCTGGGTTTCATCCCTGGTGATGCTCTGCCAGGCCTCTACTGCAACTGTCTTCAGTTCCTGCTTGTTCTTGGGGCATTTTCCCTTCAGTTTTGTCTTCAGCAAGTGAAATGCTCAATCGGATTCAGGTCAGGTGATGGACTTGGCCATTGCATAACATTCCACTTCTTTCCCTTAAAAAACTCTTTGGTTGCTTTTGCAGTCTGCTTTGGGTCATTGTCCATCTGCACTGCGAAGCGTCCAATGAGTTGTGAAGCATTTGGCTGAATATGAGCAGATAATATTCCTGAAACACTTCAGAATTCATCCGGCTGCTTTTGTCAGCAGTCACATCATCAATAAATACAAGAGAACCAATTCCATTGGCAGCCATACATGCCCACGCCATGACACTACCACCACCATGCTTCACTGATGAGGTGGTATTCTTAGGATCATGAGCAGTTCCTTTCCTTCTCCATACTCTTCTCTTCCCATCACTCTGGTACAAGTTGATCTTGGTCTCATCTGTCCATAGGATGTTGTTCCAGAACTGTGAAAGCTTTTTACATGTCGTTTGGCAAACTCTAATCTGGCCTTCCTGTTTTTGAGGCTCACCAATGGTTTCCATCTTGTGGTGAACCCTCTGTATTCACTCTGGTGAAGTCTTCTCTTGATTGTTGACTTTGACACACATACACCTACCTCCTGGAGAGTGTTCTTGATCTGGCCAACTGTTGTGAAGGGTGTTTTCTTCACCAGGGAAAAAATTCTTCGGTCATCCACCAGAGTTGTTTTCTGTGGTCTTCCGGGTCTTTTGGTGTTGCTGAGCTCACCGGTGCGTTTCCTTCTTTTTAAGAATGTTCCAAACAGTTGTTTTGGCCATGCCTAATGTTTTTGCTATCTCTCTGATGGGTTTGTTTTGTTTTTTTCAGCCTAATGATGGCTTGCTTCACTAATAGTGACAGCTCTTTGGATCTCATCTTGAGAGTTGACAGCAACAGATTCCAAATGCAAATAGCACACTTGATATGAACTCTGGACCTTTTTATCTGCTCGTTGTAATTGGGATAATGAGGGAATAACACACACCTGGCCATGGAACAGCTGAGAAGCCAATTGTCCCATTACTTTTGGTCCCTTAACAAGTGGGAGGCACATATGCAAACTGTTGTAATTCCTACACCGTTCACCTGATTTGGATGTAAATACCCTCAAATTAAAGCTGACAGTCTGCAGTTAAAGCACATTTTGTTCGTTTCCTTTCAAATCCATTGTGGTGGTGTATAGAGCCAAAAATGTTAGAATTGTGTCGATGTCCCAATATTTATGGACCTGACTGTACTACTTTTGAAATCTGGATGAGTCTTTTGCTGTAGGAGAGAACTCTCCACAATGTCATAACTTATTTTGTTGCCATAATGAAAGCTTCCTGGGGCAATCAGAATGTTGAGTAGAACCTGTGCTTTGGCCTTGCTGGTCCCACAGCTGCACATACTTGACCTTTCCTTCCTTGCCTCTTCTTTTTTTTTTTTTTTTTTTTTTTTTTTCTTCAGCCGTTTGAAGCTGAGATTTAGGCTACGTTCACACTAGCGTTCCGTGCAGGCAGCAGAGAGGTGTTTGGGAAGCGTTTTTACCTCAGCCAATTCTGCACATTACAGCACATGGTGCTGTTCTAACGGGAGCGTTTGCGTCGCGTCAAAACGGACGCCTCTGGTCAAGTCAGGAGGCGTTGAAGCCTCCTATTCTCGTCTATGGTGCCGGGCGATTGCGGTGCGGATGCGGAGCGGTAACGCCACTCAAACTGCATTATAGGCGTTTGTGGGGCGTTAACGCTCAGCAAGCGCCTAGCAACTTCCGCTAAACCGTGCATGCGGTGTTTGCCGAGCGTGAAACGCAAACGCCGGAGCAATGCTTGCCAAACGCTATAGAGGCGTTTGGCAAGCGTTGGTAAAACGGCCAAGTGTGAACGAGCCCCAAGTCCTGTGTGCGATCAAAGTCTGGAGGTTACACAAGGATTAGGATTCGTTATGTGAGAGTGCGGGGTACCTAGCAACCTATTGCCAAACAGCACTGTCTTGGGGGAGAAAAAGTGAGTCACATTTCCCCCCCTTACTTCCAGTTACCGAATGGAAAGGGGAATATAAACTGCTGGTGGGGTTTCTATTAACGTGAATCTTTTGCTTTGCCCACAACCTCCTGGGACACATCTCGTGTCTCAGGAGGCTGCAGGAGCAGTCTGGCAGTGCGATCTCATGCATGCACAGTGCGGAGCTCGCTGTGAAATGGCAGAAAATCACAGCTGACTCCCACAGCCAAGATAGCTGTGCTGGGGAAGCAAAGACCTGGCCTGGCTGAAGATAGTGCTGGGTTGGTAAGAGCCTGTTTCTTAAAAGTAAGCAGCGTCAGTATTTGTAGCTGCTGACTTTATTTTTTAAATGATGCAATGCTCTTGAAGGTAGAAAATAGGCTCCTGTCTCCAACAACCTGCATTTGCAACCGCTCTTGCTCATAGCAACCAGATTCTGTCTTTCATATTTACAGACCAGGACAGAAAAAAGTGGTGCATGTGATCGGCACAGGGCCAGTTGGCTCTGTCTAAACCTCTGTCTGGACCATGCTGATTGGCCCTGTGCTGATAATATGCCCCCCTATTAGGATTCACATTGGAGGTCAGTGACCCTCTTGTCAGGAGTCATACAGCGTCATAGGATAGTGAAAACTCCTCCTACAAGCTTTTACCAATGCTCAGCCAGAGACTGATAGAAGGCACAAGACTGCTATATACTGCTGATGAGAAAAGGTATTTAGCAGTTTATATTTACTAAAATAATTGCATTTTCATGTTCTGTGTAGACCACATATAGTGAATGCAGGGTCCTGGGTAACACTTTAAATACTCACCACTGTCAGCTCCAGGTCACACAGTACATTATTATTATAATTATTATTATACAGTATTTATATAGCACCAAAGGGTTTGCTCAGCGCTGTACAGTAGCAAGGGGGACAGAACATGAGACAAGACAGTAACAATACATGAGGGGTTCGAGGGCCCTGCTCTTTCGAGCTTACAGTCTAGGAGGGAGGGGAACATGGTACAGGAGGAAATGGCTGTGGGGGATGGAATGGTGAGAGGAGTGGAGGAGGTTAGTTGTTAGGTGGGGTCTGGTGTTAGGTGAGGTTGGGGTAGGCTTCCCTGAAGAGGAGGGTTTTCGGGGTGCGCCTAAAGGTGAGGAGGGTAGGTGACAGTCTGATGGATTGAGGTAGGGAGTTCCAGAGGATGGGGGAAGTCCTAGAGAAGTCCTGCAATCGGGCGTGGGAGGAGGAGACCAGGGAGCTAGAGAGTAGGAGGTCCTGTGAGGAGCAGAGGGCACGTACATTTTCTGAACCTCTGGGGGAGCATGCACTAAGACTTGTACAGGCTCCGGCTGCTGTCAGCCACTTGGAGAGGGGGGCAGGGTTGTGGCTTGTCATCAGGACTGTCTGTTTCTGTGGCCATAAGGAGACATCCACAGTGCTACGCATGCAAAGGTGGCTCCGTGAGACTTGTAGGGTGACGGAGCCACCTGAAAACAGAAACAAGGAAAGAGCATTGTTTAGAGATGAAAAGCAATAACAGGTTTACAGAGTGGAAGGGCTTAAAAGAATGGTGCACTGCAAAGACTAGAAGTGCTTAGGTCCACAGCACTGTATGATTTTTGCTTTTGAGGGCTTAAAGGATATGTTTACATTTTAAAAAAAAAAAGTGCATTAGATTGCGGGAGTAATTTTGGGCTCCTGTAGACTCTCAGTACAACTGTCTGCATGTACCTCCATATGGGCAGACAGTTACTGGAGAGCAGGAAGAATCTATGAACTACGAGCAGAGAGGGTGGAGGACAGGTTTGTGTGTCTGCATACACAGACGCAGCCCACTCTACTCTATGGGCAGTCAGTTGTAAACAAATCGGCTACCAATTTTACATCCAACTGCTCTCTGATCTGATCCACCCAGACAGAGGGGAACAGATCCCCTTCCGTTTGTTTTTATCGGATCAGATTGGAGACAGGCGAGTGTAAATGGAAATAAGTCAGACAGGGTCCACCTAGAAAACTGACAAGTGGACCTGATCAGACCGCTTGTCTGAATGGGGCCTAATATGCTCCAAAATGTGTTTTTAAAAAATAATGTACCCTCCTATTAGGATTCACATTGGCGGTCAGTGACTTCTAGAAGTGTCCTAGGCTTGTGATTTTGACATTTATTTGGTCAACAATCACACTGCATCCTCAAATCCTTAATTTTTTTCTTTTTTTGGTGCATTTATTTTGACAGTGTAGTTATTGTAATGTGAATGTGATATATTTAGCGAGGTTCTTCCTATACCCATGTGTTTAGAATAACTAATATTATAATAGCTGCCAATATCAACAATATTGCAGGTCATCTTCACTCTGCTGTTTATTTTTCATGTTGATCCTAATATTTTATTTATTTCTCAGGACTGGAGTTACCCTATGAGACGGGAGATGCAGGTATATATTTAAAATAAATAAGTTGTGCCATATTATTATTATTTTTAAACCTCAAAGATAGCGTCTTTATGTTTTTGTTTTTATGTTGCTGTTTATACAGATAAGGTGGTGTGCTGTTTTTCATTTGAGTGCTTAGACGTACAGCACGTAGTTTTACCTTCTTCGTAATGCTGCTACAGTCTCATAACAGAAGTGCATGTTCTGTGTTCTAAAATCTTCTGTATTTTTATTTATTTACTTTTAGGAAATTCTACCTGGCTTGTTTCTGGGTCCATATTCTGCAGCAATGAAGAGCAAGGTGCGTAAATAAAATTTCTCTAAAATTGTAAGCAGTTACTTAATACGTAGGGACCCATATGGAGACCCTACATATTGGGCTATGGAAGATGGTTATTTAGGCTAGGTTCACATCTGTGCAGGTGGTGCCGCTGCGGATCCGCACAAAAATCCGTGCAGACGCACCACCCACACAGAAGAATGCGGACCCGCAGGTGGGGTCCATTAATTCTAATGGCACGCCACCCGCACTGGAAATCGCAACCGTACTGGGAACCGAGGTTCCCGAGCGGGCTGCGCTTTCAGAAGAAGTGCAGGGACTTCTTACCTGCGTGTCCCGGGGCACGGGCGTTCATTCAAATTAATTGGTTCTCGTACCCACGCAAAACATGGCCCGCAGGAATATGTGAACCAGGGGTAAAGCGGAGTTCCAGATGAATAAAAAAATAAGTCAGCAGCTACAAAAACTGTAGCTGCTGACTTAAAATACAGACACTTACCTGTCCCTCAGTCCAGCTGTGTTCTTACCACGGCTGGTTTCACCGGCCGTCTTCTCTCCCCGGCGCTGGCACCTTCACTGTGGGCACCTGCCTGTGACAGCTTGCGGCTTCACAGCCAGGTGCCTGGAGGGAGGGAGGGGGGGGAACGACAACTTCTGATCGCCATAGGCGATCGCACCAGAAGTGGGAGCAGGTACCCGTCAAATTTGGGTACCCACCCCACGAAGGTGCTAATCCTTAACGGGGAGCTGGGAACAAAGCCTTAAAGCAGACTTTTCCCTTTTGTGGGCAGCTCTGCTTTAACCAAACAAATTGAACAAATTGGCCAGAGGGTGTCCTAAAATGTTTTGCAAACTCTGAGGCCCTTGACTTGATACTCTGAATACCAGTGACTCTTTATTATACCTGATATCGGACTCCATTTTAAGGAAAAGTCATTCTATGTTGCTAACCTAATGTTTATCTGTACCTCCGTAATGGGACATGTATACTTCTTTATTAATCACCACCTTAGCAAATAACATATTTTCTTCTTCCGATACAGGTGAATGTACTTTTTGTACCAAATTGCCCTGTTAGGGTAGTTTTGCCAGGTTTTTTTTTTTTTTTTTGCTTTTGTGTTTTTTCGTTGGCAGGAACATCCTGCATGTTTTTTGTTTTCTACTACTTCTATATTAATATGGGTAAATGGTATGTTACCCATTTGCAGCTGTAGTTGAAGTGCTTCAGACACTATTGTGAATGTCCTACTTATCTTGTGATATATCATTTTGTAATGCATGTATACCACTCTTTCATGCAGCAGCACTCCTACACTTCTTCTGTAACAGTTATTTGATTGCTGACAAGCATTTGTCTATGTCATACTCGTATTTTACTTATAAAAAAACAAAAACAAATTGTAAGCTGTAAAAGCAACAACATCTTGGAACTGAATATTAGTCTAATTCCACATTTTAATGTCCCGTTTTTAAAAACAAGCCATTTACTGCGCTAACAGGTGTGCTTCCTGGGTACAATGACTGCGCTACATATACTATACAGCGCTGTGTTCCAGAAGTGGGTTGGGAGATTACCATCTCACTCCTGGAACAAAATAGAGTTGGGCGAAGCATTGCTCAGCCATTCACGGGAAACTGTATTCTAGTAATAAATACAAAGTTTCCGCTGATTGGCTGCAGCTGAGATTGTGACATCTGCTGTCCACCTCTCTGCCTCAGCCAGTCAGAGGAAAAGCTTCCCCTTTTAGATAATACAGCACACTCAGCAAGTCCTTTGGTTAGTGCGGTAAATAGTTTGTCTGTGCCAGCTTGGCTCAAAAGAACTATTTAAAGGGACATTAAACATGGACCTGTTCTCTTTAAAGACTTAAAGCTAAAATTCCTGCCTTAGAGAGGACACTTCAAGGTGCCTCGTATTACTTTTATTAAATAGATCCTGGCACCAGACCATTTATTTCAACTTTCCATAAGATTATGCAGGCATTCCCTGTATTTTATGCATGTTATTTACCTGTAAAATCTTCCCTTGTGCAGACACTTAGAGGTCCTGAGACTGCGGCTGGGTGCCACCATCTTGGATGTGATGCCAAAAGCTGCAGCAGGCTCAGAGCTGAAACTCAAATGACACTAGAGTATAATCCTTCACTCCTCCCTGGTGGGGGGAAAATAGATCTGTGATTTGAGCTTGACTACCCCAAGAAGAGTCAGTTCTCAAAGTCCTATTGCAAGTTGTGATATGATGATATGGGGGATGTTTAGTTCAGTGGTGGTGAGCATTTTCAGTGAGTCATGCCAGTCCAAACTGGTTAAGAGCTTGCTGGCCCACTTTTAAATGAAGGCTGTCCACACGGGTGTTTTCCATCAGCAAAAAAAAAAAAAAAAAATGTTAAGCCACCTGCATCACTGTTTAGCAGCGCCACTGCTCTTGTTAGTATCGTTGAGACCCAGCTCTCAGGCTCTCCTGGCTCCCTCAGCCTTTAGTTACAGCAGCTCGCTGCACAAGTCCACTCCTGGCACCTCGGGCTCTCTCACGCCCCTCAGACTTAGATTCTCTGTTCCCTGGACTTGCATAGTTGGCTCAGATCTCCCAAACTTGCTCAGCTTTCCCGACTTTCTCAGTCCTGCGGGTGAGAGATCTCTCCAACAAGAAGTGAAGTACCCATACAGTTCTCAGCATGTTCTCTGTATTGAGTCTCCACCTCTGGCTATAAGCCTCACCCACCTGCCGTCCTGCTGTTTAGCAAGAGCACCGTTAAGAGCAAATGAATGGCAATCATTAGATACGCAGTAAGCTTCGATCACATTCCACCCAAAGCAGAAATACTTATTATTGGTGGAGATTTTTAAATGGCATCTGTACCCGTAGTGTCTGGCAGCAATGGATTAACAAAGACATTTTTATACCTATATCATTTTTACTTGAGCATTTCTGTGTGATATTAAACTATTTCTATCTTCTTGCTTCCTTTTTAGCTCCCAATTCTTCAGAAATATGGAATAACGCATATAATCTGCATAAGACAAAGTATTGAAGCAAACTTTATCAAACCAAACTTTCAGAATTTATTTAGGTAGGTTGTCAGAGTTTTATTATTTACTTTGCATATTTAGAATGAGTTAAAGTGACCCGAAACAGGATCCTTGTTCTCCAAAAATAATCCATACACATCCACTACTTCATGGCCCCGTACGTATTTTTAATTAAATCATTTCTTATGGTGTTTTTCTGCCTCCATGAGCTCCCAAACATCTGCTTTTTCCCCTTGTTTTTGTTTGACATGAGCAGTGTGCATCGGTTGCTGTCATGTACACTGCTCTATGCACACTGGAAATCCCATAGTCCCAAGTCCATCTTTGTAGTGAGCAAGAGACTGGCTACATTCCTACATACAGAACAAATTTAGCCACCTTCTCAACAGTAAGTCGGATCACAGCAACAAAAAAAGAATTTGGAGGAGGCTGAGAGCAATAAAAGGGACTTTTTGAGATAACAATACATACTGGAATAGAATTTCTTTTTTAAACCAGAGTTTAGTGTCACTTTAAATTACAACTTTTTCTTTTTTGGCTAATGGACCAGAGGTATAATATGGGTTTGTATTAGGAGTGCCCCAAAATTTTGATAGCTGAAACATTTCGGCCGAAAACACCCCTATTGGCCAATATGAAAATAGACACCGATACGGGTGCCGGAAAAAAAACCCCGCCCCGCTGCTGCCGCCGCTCGGTAGTTCTCAGCCTTAGCTGAGAAACCACCAAACAATCTCGGTGATGGGCATAGAGATAACTGAAGGAAAGATGGCCTCCACTCATCTCTATGCCCTTGGAGGACCAGAGCGATGCCCCTTCCAGTTCCCCTGCCTTGTAAGCAAGGACTTTTTGTTTATTTTTTTTTTTTTTTTAAAGCACTCGATCAATGCTTTTTTTGATCTAATGCTTTACATTGTGAATGAGAGATGTGGGGTGTTATTGACCCCATATCTCTCCATAAAGAAGACCTGTCATTATTTCTATCACAAGGGATGCATGCATTCCTTGTGATAGTAATAAAAGTGATGAAAATTTTTTTTTTAGCGGGACAGTGTAAATAAATTTCAAAATGCCCCCGTCCCCCCATGTTCGCATGTAGTGGTGAACGCATACGTAGGCCATGCCCACATATGTAAACGGTGTTCAAACCACATGTGAGGTATCGCCACGAATGTCAAAGCAAGAGCAATAATTCTAGTACTAGACCTCCTCTGTAACTTTACACTGCTAACCTGTAGAAATTTTTAAAGCGTCACTCATGGAGATTTTTAAGTACCGTAGTTTGACGCCATTCCAGGAGCGTGTGCAATTTTAAAGCATGAAATGTTGGGTATCTATTTACTCTGCGTAACATCATCTTTCATATATTACAAAAAAATTGGGGTATATATTGTGGAGTTTTTTTTTTTTTTTTTTTTGTTTTTTATCATTAAAGTGTATTTTGTTGCAAAAAAAATTGCTTTAGAAAAATATATTAATTTTTAAAAACTGTCAATTTCGTTTTTCTGCCAAGTGCATCCTGAATTTTTGTTTCGGTGCACCACTAGTTTGTATTTGATGTTTCCTATCATGCTCCACAGAAAGCTTAAAATGATGCTAAAGATTTTTTTGTTTTGTTTTTTTTTATCTTAAAAATAAGAAACATGTCATGCTTCCCTGCTCTGTGCAATGGTTTTGCACAGAGCAGCCCGGCTCCTCCTCCTCGGGTACCATGCTGGCACTCCTGGCCCCTCCATCCTGTCTGGTGCCCCCTTAGCAAAAACTTGCTATGGGGGTACACAAACAGGTGCGCTCCCAAGCCACGGCTCTGCATGTCCATTCATACACACAGCTGCAACTCAACCCCGCCCCTCCCTCACCTGCTTGGCTCGCTGGCTGTTATTGATGGCAGCGGGAGCCAGTGGCTCCCACTGCTAACTTAGCCAATCAGGAATGAGGGTCCCCAGAGAGCCGAGACTCTTGTGGACATTGCTGGATCAAGAACGGGGCTCAAGTGTTGGGGGGGCTGACACACACACACACACACACACACACACACACACACACACACACACACACACACACACACACACACACACACACACACACACACACACACACACACACACACACACACACACACACACACACACACACACACACACACACACACACACACACACACACACACACACACACACACACACTTTTTTTACCTTTATGCATAGAATGGATGAAAGTATAAAACCCTGAGACTTTAGAGCCACTCTAAAGAGAACCTGTCATTTCTTTGCTATCCTGTAAAATGCATACTTCTAATACAGTGTGGGCAGGAGAATCATTCTCATGTTGTATCACCTCTGCGATACATGATTGTACAATCTGGAAACATTCAAATGAGGTATATTTTAGGAACAATTGTCCTTCTACATAATTCTAGATAATGGAGATAAAATAATTTGTTTGTCTCCTTAGGCTGGCCATACATGGATCAGTTTTTATTTTTTCAATCAGCCAGCGGGTTGATAGAAGAAAAATGAACGGATCCCCCCCCATCCACACAAGTGAGGTGGATAGAGGAATCCCCCGTTTTTGTATTCTGACAATGAGTACTTCACTGTCAGAATACACTGATCAGCGCGGATCGAATAAACAAGCCCATTTGTGAGAAGTCGATCATTAGATTGACTTCTCACAAATGGGAACAGCCATAGATGGCTTGAAATCTAAACCTTTGGAATTACTCTTCACTTTCAATCCTGGGGAAAGTAGTTACCATGATGAATAAAGAAGTGAATCTTCCCAGCAGGGACACATCAATAAAAACTTGATAGGGTTCCGAACCCTTTCCCATTCTATTCATAATATAAAAATTCAGTTTTGGCTTTATGTATACACTTTTTTTTTTTTTCCTATCAAACTGTTAGGGGTTCGACATGATATAAAATGTGAAAGTGTACAAGAGCATAGTTTTTCCTAAAATAATAAACTAACGGATGTTTTTGTTTTTCAACAGATATTTAGTGCTGGATATTGCAGACAACCCAATTGAAAACATTATACGTTTTTTTTGCTATGGTAAGAGTTTGAATTTCCTTTTTTTTTTCTGTCACATACTTTGTGTTATGCTTTCTCTCTGTTATATGCTAACCAGCAGAAGTGCCAGGTGTGCTTACAATGCCAACCTGTTTGCATGGTTTAATTTTTCTGAAACTGCTTAAGTATGGCAGAACCAGTAATTGAGTAATCATTAGCTGATTGTATGGCGAGGAGTAATATATCCATTCTCTATTCTTTCCAATACTGAAAATTTGGCTTGTGGAATAAAATATTTTTGGTGGGATTGGCCCTTCCATTAGATTAGATCTGTCACTTTAGTACAATAGGAAAGGCATGCAGCATGTAATAACCAGTATAAGAACAGATCTATTTTATTAGTACACCTCGTTGGAACACAGCTGAGGCTACCCTGCTGGCTATTTACTCTCTAATAGACGGCAGTGCTTTATATCTGTAAAGCATTATGAAAGTTTGCACAGCAGCAGTGCCAGCCTGTCTGTTTCTCACACATATTTTTCCTTCCCTCTGTTAGTCAAAGGAATTCATTGACGAGTGTTTACACAGTGGAGGTAAGTAGACTTTCATGCCCCCTTTTAATTGTCATGTTGGTTGAATACGTTGCTATAGACAGTGGAAATGATTTAAAAGATGTGTAATGAACCTAAGGCATCTGACATTGCCGATCTTTCAGAAAATGCCAGCTGCTTGGCTGCATGCTAATATTGTGTTGGCCGAATGCCTGAATATTTCGTTTAGTATACACTAACTTTAAATCTAGGTTCACATATCTGGGTGTGTGGATGTGCGATGTGCTGTGGTTTAGCAGATGCCCAGGGGTGCCATTAATTTTTACACATAGGCAACCATGGCACATTGTTTTCCTGTTTCTGTGGGTAGGGCAGCCCATTTAAATGAAAAGGCTGCTTGAATGCAGACCATCATAGATGTGAACACAGCCTAAATGAATGCTCTGCATTTTTGTGATAAAGAAAAGCCTACAAAGAAATCAAATTAATGGTCTATTGTCTGCATTCTCATTGATGTGACTGGTTTCAAGTGAATGGCTAGGCTGCATTCTCAGTGATGTCACTGGTCTCTAGTGAATGGATAGGCTGCATTCTCAGTGATGTCACTGGTCTCTAGTGAATGGATAGGCTGCATTCTCAGTGATGTCACCGGTCTCTAGTGAACAGGCTGCATTTTCAGTGATGTCTCTAGTGAATGGATAGGCTGCATTCTCAGTGATGTCACCGGTCTCTAGTGAATGGATAGGCTGCATTCTCGGTGATGTCACTGGTCTCTAGTGAATGGATAGGCTGCATTCTCAGTGATGTCACCGGTCTCTAGTGAATGGATAGGCTGCATTCTCGGTGATGTCACTGGTCTCTAGTGAATGGATAGGCTGCATTCTCGGTGATGTCACTGGTCTCTAGTGAATGGATAGGCTGCATTATTGGTGATATCACTGGTCACTTTGAGATTGCAGCCAATTCCTAATCACTAAAGATTTATAACAGGTTTACTGCATTAGTTTTTTGGTGTTTCAAATTCCACTCTTCTGAAAATATATCCCTTTTTTTTTTTTTTTCTTTTTTTTCTTTTAGGAAAAGTTCTCATCCATGGCAATGCAGGGATTTCAAGGAGCGCTGCCTTGGTTATTGCATATATTATGGAAACGTTTGGTATAAAATACAGGTGAGTGTTTTCTTCGATGCATTGGCCGGGTGTTTTCTGTGAGAAGCACTACATAAACACAAGCAGCTTCTTCTGGCAGCTTGTAATTCCTGTAACTTAAAGACCAACTCAAAGTTATGCAAAATGCATGTATATTTGAAGAAAAAATGTGTATTATTTGCAAATGAGTTTGTGGGGGAAGGCAGGGTGGGAAAGGGGGTTCCGACTCACACCATGTATGTTGCATCCTAAATATGGGTGTAACATAGTCCATAAAGGTGGAGTTAGCCTTTAAAAATCTATTTTTGTGTCCTTCTGATTATCTTATGGACCCCAGGCCCAGGTTGTACAGAGAGGGCCCCTACGTTTCATTAAGTCTACACTAAACCCTGCTCCATTTTGGTGCTAAGTTCTGACTTTTAACAGACCAATGCTGAAGCCTCATCACTAGTGGAGGCCTTGTCACTGGGCTGATAACTGGCATGGACAGGGCTTCGCACCAGGGATTGAGTTGAGTGTCAGCTTGCCTAGAAATCCTGACTATAAATCTTTGGTCTAGAATCCACAAGAACACGGAATTTGTCTTGAGGATTAATCCAGATCCTTACAAGCACTACAACCTGCCAGGATTTACTAACTGAGACACAACCGTGTTTTGACAACACATCTTTATCAGTTGATGTCTGTTCAGTGACCGTGATCACATGCTTGGATCCTGACCCAGAAATGGTGGAATATAGTAATGTCTCTGTGCATGCAAACACACGAGACCTTTTCTGCACCACTTCAGCCATAGAAAAACTACTTTAATTTAAAGTGTTACTAAACCCACAACAGTAAAACCAGTCTGTATATTATTATTATACAGTATTTATAAAGCGCCAATAGTTCACTCAGCGCTGTACATTACAAAGGGGGACAGAACATGCGACAGAACAATACCAATACAATGCAAAACATGAGGGGATCGAGGGCCCTGCTCTTTCGAGCTTACAATCTAGGAATATGCACTAAAGCATGCTTGTTCTCACTGTGGAACCTAAGGGGTTAACCCTCTGCATTGTTTAAAAAGGTTGTTTAATCCTGACTTCTCTGATCCTCCCCTTCCCGTGTCCCCCCTCTTATCTCCTGATAAGACATAGCATGTGGAGTCACTCTGCACATGCTCAGTTTGCTGTGTATTGCTAGAGAGGTGTTTTTTTTTTTTTTTTTTTGTTTTGTTTTTCTTTCTGGGGAGTGCATATCAGCACTGTCCAGATGGAGGTCAGGGGTTCTGCATCCTCCTAGAGCAAAATAAAAACTCCTCCTACAAGCTTTAACATGTGCTCTGCTGGACACTGATAGAAGTCACAACACTGCTCTAACTGCTGTTTAAAAGGTATTTAGCAGTTTATATTTACTAAAATAATTGCATTTCCATGTTCTGTGTACTGTGGGAGACCAGATATGGTGAATGCGGGGTCTGGGGAGACCAGATATAGTGAATGCGGGGTCTGGGGAGACCAGATATAGTGAATGCGGGGTCCTGGGAGACCGGATATGGTGAATGCGGGGTCCTGGGAGTCCGGATATGGTGAATGCGGGGTCCTGGGAGACCGGATATGGTGAATGCGGGGGTCCTGGGAGACCGGATAGGGTGAATGCGGGGTCCTGGGAGACCGGATAGGGTGAATGCGGGGTCCTGGGAGACCGGATAGGGTGAATGCGGGGTCCGGGGAGAGCGGATAGGGTGAATGCGGGGTCCGGGGAGAGCGGATAGGGTGAATGCGGGGTCCGGGGGAGAGCGGATAGGGTGAATGCGGGGTCCGGGGAGAGCGGATAGGGTGAATGCAGGGTCCTGGGCTTAGTAACACTTTTTAAGATTTTGGCCGCATTGTAGAAAAATGTTTAAGACTACATCTGTCTGACAGTCAACATGGCCAGATCTAGACCAAAGAAGCTAAATCATTCAAAATCTAATGCATGTTCTGCTGTGTAGTGCAGCAGCAACACATATATGATATTGATTATCACTGAACTGCTCCTGTACGGCTGCCTTTATGTGTTTATATTTTTCTGGTGCCTAGTGAAAGCTGGTGTCCTTTAGAATAAATATTCTTTTGCTCTTTTAAAGGGATGCTTTTACATATGTGCAAGAAAGAAGGTTCTGCATTAATCCCAATGCTGGATTTGTTCACCAACTTCAGGTATTGCAGTTTCATTTCCTGAAAATCAGAACTGTATTTCTTTTGTTTGGGGGTTTTGTTATAGCAGTTCTAAACAAGCCAACCCGAAAAGAACCATGCATGTTCTCAAGCTTTCCTCACAGACAACGCTTGCAGAATAGGTGGAAGGGAGGGAGGGGTGGATGGAAGTAAAGAAGAGGTGGAAGGGACGGGTGGGTGGAACGGTGGAAGGAAGGGACGGGTGGGTGGAACGGTGGAAGGAAGGGACGGGTGGGTGGAACGGTGGAAGGAAGGGACGGGTGGGTGGAACGGTGGAAGGAAGGGACGGGTGGGTGGAACGGTGGAAGGAAGGGACGGGTGGGTGGAACGGTGGAAGGAAGGGACGGGTGGGTGGAACGGTGGAAGGGAGGGGTGGGTGGAACGGTGGAAGGAAGGGAGGGGTGGCTGGAAGGAACGAAGCATGGCTGGGTGCACAAAAGAGAGGGATGGGAGGAAGGAATGGAGGGAGGGGTGGCTGCGTGGAAGGAAGGTTAGGTCAGACTCGCCATGGCTCATTCAGAAGCATCAGAGCTGTCGGCTGCTCTGTGTTCAATTTCCCACCCACACATCCTCTGTGCAGGGAATGGAGTGTGGGCAGGCACAGGGTAAGGCAGAGCAGATCCAGCCTCTCTCCCCTCTTCTCCTATTGGTTCGGAAGATGGAAGGAGGAGCTGGGCAGCGAGAAGAACACAGCGGCGGCGGAAGGCAGAAAACGGAACCGTTCTGTGCAGTGGTGGGGGTGGTGTCAACCAGCAATTTTCTGTATGGCTTTCAATAAAGCAGCTGGAAGCCGTGTCTCCTCCTCTCCCTCCCGTGGCTTCCAGCTGCTTTATTGAAAGCATTACAGGAGATTGCTGGTTGTTGCCACCCCCACCTTCTTTTCATTCCATGAGGGCTGCAGCCTGCAGGGATGGTTGGCAACTCCTTTTGGGGGGGGGGGGGGGGGGGGGCTTTTTGAAGCCAGCTAGACAACTGCTTGAAACTGGCTGAAAGATTTCCAAGCTGAAGCCTGTGTGTTCAAGGTCTGTCTTTTGCATCGGAGTGCTTTTCAGTCACTTTGCAGAAGACGTCAATGAAAATGGAATGAACGGAGTATATTATTTGGAAATTAGGTGGGTCTTCAACTTTTCAAAATTTTTTTTACTAGGCTAATTGTATCAATTTTTTTTCTTGTAGGAATATGAAGCCATCTATCTAGCAAAATTAACCATTAAAATGATGTCACCTCTGCAATTAGGAAGGAACTTTTCTATACAATCTGGTGCTACAGGTAAGTGTCATTCAAATCTGTGAGGCTTTGTACATACCGGCTTAGGATCGTATAAGAGAAGTGTGTACAGTAATGCTGCGTACACACAATCCGAATGTCGGCCGGATCAGCACGAACCGATCGACGTTTGGACAGTGTGTCCAGCTGCTGGTCCAACATCCGGCTTTAGTGGAAAGGAAATGCTGGAAAACCTGCAGCCAATTAGCGCTGGCAGCCAATGGCTGTGAGCGTTGATCAAGGTCTTCTGGCGGTGGGGTGGGGGGTTAAAACACTGGCTCAGCTAGTACAGCGACCTCTGTTTTTTGTTCAGTCCGCTGGGTTGAACGAAAACTTATAATATGTACTAGGCTTAAGCTTCACGCTTTATTCTTGAAGCCGGTAACACAGACTTCCCTTGAATTTTTATTTTATTTTTTGCATTCAGGAAGCCTAAAAAGGACACATGAAGAGGAAGATGAACTTGGAAATATGCAGGTGTCGGCAGCTCATGATGCGTAAACCCAAAAGACACTCGCTACACATTTTGACTCTTATTTCGGCCATGTTCTTGTCCAGGTGCTGCTATTGTGCTTTAATCAGACAATAATAGGACTTGTCCATGGATAAGCAGATGGCACTGATTGTTTTACTGCTTTTTACACAGCTGTTTTACTAAAGAAAATTTTTTCGTTTGGACTTGCAACTTGGTATTACTGCAATAATGCACTTTTCATACTTGAAGTTTTTTTTTTTTTTTTTTTTTGTATAATACAATGCAACTGATGGGAAGGAAACCTGTTTCTATAAAGTTTAATTTATAAGGAAAAAAAATGGCTTTAGTATTAAAATGTTTGCTAGACTTGCGGGTTTTTTTGTAAATACATTTTTATAGGTTTAGAAGTTAAGAAATTTTTAAACTAACCGGATTCTATACAGTTTAAAATATAAAACAAAAAAATGAAATAAAATATGCTACTTGGATCATTGGATCAGATTGTATACTATTGAATAACCTTCTGTATCAAAGTTCTTTTTATTATGCAGTTTCTATTGTGGCGTTGGCCTAAAGATTGTTCCTAACCGATTGTTCTGATGTTTTTCAAATAAACAGACTGTAAATTAATAGTGTTTCCAGGATCTTGCTTTCTGTAGTCATGTGGAGTCGGGTATGTAGTTGATGTAGTTGGAGTGCAGATGATGGCAGAAATGGGGGAAGTTTGACCAGGAGAATCCCTGACATAGGCAAGAAGCCAGATGTTTGGGTTCAGCCAATAGACTCCATTTGTAACTAAAATGTCACATTACGGTGGTATTAACCTTTCAAAGTTATGGCACACAATCGCTAATCCTATATTATCTGCATTTATAGCATGCGTTTACATGCCATACAGTCACATCAGTCTCCTCCCTCAAGGAGTTTACAATCTCTGGTCCCAATCTCACATACATACACACATTCTAAGACCAATTCAAACATGACCCAACTATCCTACCATTATGTCTTTGGAGTGTGGGAGGAAACCCACACAAGCACAGGAAAAAAAACATGCAAACTGCATGTAGACAGTGTCCTGTCCAGGATTTGAACTGGGGACCCCAGTGCTGCAAGGCAGAAGTGCAAACCACTAAGGCACTGTGCTGAAACTAGGTGCTCCTAGTTGCAAAACTGCAAATCTTGGTCTCGGCTGACAATCAGGAACCTCTTTGACTCCCTGTCTTGCGATCCCTAGGGCAACCCTAGTAATTGCATAGGTTAATAGAAGAAGGTACAGGCTGTGAGGGGGAGCAGGTATTTGATACACCTGGAAGTGTTTAACCAATTCAATACCGGCAATTTTACACCTTCCTTCCCAGGCCATTTTTCAGGTTTCAGCGCTCACACTTTGACAATTGCGCAGTCATACAACACTGTACCCAAACTAAAATTTTATCATTTTCTTCACACAACTAGAGCTTTCTTTTGGTGGTATTTAATATTCGCTGGGGTTTTATTTTTTGCTAAATTAACAAAAAAGACCGAAAATTTTGAAAAAAAACCCACATTTTTCTTTGTTTCTGTTAGAAAAGTTTGCGAATAAATAATTGTTCATAAATTTAGGCCGAGATGTATTCTACTACGTGTCTTTGGTGAAAATAACCCAAATTAGGATTTTAGTTTATAGGAAAGTTATAGAGTTCACAAACTATGGTATAGATCTGAATATTGATCAGTCCTGAAGTACTGACAGCCAATCTAATTTCTTGAGGTCCAAGAATGTCAGAACAGTACAGATATCCCCCAAATGTCAGGACAGGACAGATATCCCCCAAATGTCTGGACAGGACAGATATCCCCCAAATGTCTGGACAGGACAGATATCCCCCCAAATGACCCCTTTTTGCAAAGTAGACAGTCCGACGTACTTCATAAGAGGCATGGCGAGTTTTTTGAAGTTGTATTTTTTTTTGTCATTTTTCAGAAAATTAAAAAAGAAAAATTTATTTTCACTTTTTTTTTTTTTTTTACATACTGTCTGACCAATGCAGTACAGCGTCATCATATAACTGGAATGATCAGTTTTTTTTTTTCACACTGACTGGTGACTGTGTGGAAAAAAAAAAAATATATATTTTTTTTATTTTAAATTTTTAATTAAATTTTTTTTTTTTTTTAAGATTTTTTTTTTCATATTTCACTGTCCGAAGTAGTACAATGTTACCATAGTAACATTGTACTACTTTGGGGAAGTGATCAGTGTTTTTTTTTTTTTTAACACAATTTTGCTTATAGCAAAGAATTACTTTGCTATAAGCAAGCATTTACCTGAATGACATTGATTCATTCAGGGTTTTTTTTTTTTTTTTTTTGTTTTTTTTTGTGCTTCGCTGTGATTTGGCCACAGCTAATCACATGTGCATGTGCTTAGCTGTGACCATTCACAGCTAGACACTAGTATACAATGGATGGCATGAATGAAGCCATCCATTGTATACAACTGTCATGTGACCTGCTGTGATTGGTCACAGCAGGTCACATGGTACCGGCAACGGGGGCCGGTACTCAGATCTGTCATTGGCCGTGTCCGAGGTACACGGCCGGTGACAGATCGCGCCACTGCGTGGCTCTGCAAGCGCGCGAGCTGCGTGTGTGCGGGAGGACGCCATAAGGCGGCCTCCCGGAAAGGTAATGCATTTTTGCGGACACCATAGGCCGGGCATCAAATGGTTAAAGTGGTTCTAAAGGCTGGACATTTATGTACCTTTAATGTATTCCCTGCTTTAAGGTAAAAAATGGCCCAGTGACCGTTATTGCACCTCCCTAAATGCTTACCTGAGTGTTGTGCCCAAGAGCAGAAGGGCTGCTCTCTTCCTCTCCTCAAAAGGCCATTGGCTCCTGTTGCTGTCACTCAAATCCTGTGCAGAGGGGATGGGGCCAAGCCATGCTGAGTGTGTCAATAAACATAGTCTGGCTCGAGAGCAAGTCCACAGGTGCCCCTGAGAAGAAGCGGCTTCCTATGGTGGTGCACGGAGAAGAGGAGGGGAGCTCAGAGGAGGCGGTTTGGGTCGCTTTGGGCAATACTATTGCACAGAGCAGGTAAGTATTACATGTTTTTGTGTGTGTTTTTTGTTTTGTTTTTTTTTTTTAGAAAAAAAGTTTGAAGCTTTACAACTACTTTAATGCCTGCAACAGCTGGGGGCAGCAAAGTTTGAATACAAGCCACCAGAAAGACAAGTATGCATGCTGTCCTTTTTACAGGGCTGACTTTGTTTAAAGTATATGTAAACCCTCAACTTGTAAAACAACCCATTTAAAATAGAAATGAAAGGCAAACCATTTGTGTATGGATATAAAAAACATTATAAATACCTTTTCCCCCTTTTAAATGATCACATACCCTCTGTTCTCTGCTGCACAGAGAGAGGGGGGGGGAGAACCAGCATCCCCCTGATCTTCCCAGTGAATAGCTGTGTGTGGGAGGGGGGGTGGAGTCTGATCATTTGGAGGAGAGCACACGGAGTTCCCAGTACAGCATGAGAACTGACTGTGGCGTGTTCTCCTTAGTGTGCTCCGTTTTAAATAGGAAATCATAGAAACTGGCAGGAACACCAGAGATTTCACACAAAGGAAGCAATACAAAGGGAACAGGATACTTTATCATGCAAGTGCATGGTACAGCAGGCACAGATCAGGAATATGAAATGTTGGGTTTTACATATTCTTTAACCACTTCCTGTCCGGACACTTTTACCCCCTTCCTGACCAGGGCAATTTTCAGCTTTCAGCGCTATCACACTTTGAATGACAATTGCGCGGTCATGCAACACTACCCAAATGAATTTTTTACCATTTTTTTGAGACAGATAAAGCTTTATTTTGGTGGTATTTATTCACCGCTGGGATTTTTATTTTTTTTTTTGCTATTTAAATGAAAAAGTCCAAACATTTTGAAAGTGTTTTTTTTATAAAATTTTGCAAATAATATTTCATCATAAATCTTTGCCAAAATTTATTCCGTTATCTTCTTAGTAAAAAAAAAAAAAAAATCCAAATTAGTTTATAACCAAAAATTTTAATTTTTTAAACTTTTTTTTTTTTTTTTTACATTTTTATTTTATTTTTTATTTTTTACATACGGTCACCCTAGCAGTACAGTGTCACTAACACTAATGGTGACACTAATACTTGTGGGGGGTGATGAAAGTTTTTTTTTTTTTTTTTACACTGATTGCTTTTACACCCATATAGGATGTAAAAGCAATCATTTCTCTTTCTCTCTGTGTGCATTCTTGCACTCATTGAGAAGTACTGAGTGAGCTGTGATTGGTCACAGCTTGTCACATGGTAGAAGGCTGTTGTGAATAGCCTTGTACCATACCATGTGACCTCTGTGATCATTCACAGATTTCACACGTAGTAAGCAATGATGTCACAAGTGACATTTTGCTGACTACTTTGCATGTGATCATTGATTGGCCAATCAGTGATCACATGATCAGGACCTCGTACAGAGGTCCCGTCCGACGATCGGTGTTTCACTGTGTCCGGAGGACACAGCGGGCACCGGATCGCGGTGCTTCACGCTCTGAGGGAGCGCGCACAAGCAGGGTGCGGGGAGGCCATTTATAAACGGCCACCCGACCCTGCACTGCCACCGTCCGGCCGTTTATATGCAACGGCCGGTCAGGAAGTGGTTAAGTGAACTTGTGATGACAGGGTCACTTAATATAAAAATGATTCAGTAAGGCAAATTCGAGTCGTAGTCAAGTTAGCTGTTGCTGCTACGTTTATCTCTAGGCAACAAGTAATCCAATCTGTACAACTACTCCTCTCCCACAATTTGATTGTGTAGGGAATGTAAACATTACCAAAGTCAACAAAATAAGATCATACATGAGCTTTTCCCTATAAGAAAAGACATGGGCTTTTATTTAAAAATTCACCTTTTTATTGTGCCTTAAATAAACATTCCACCAAAAGAGGAAAAAATTATTTAAACGAGTGATCCTAATTTTTCTGACATTTTAAAAATGAATCCTGG